GTCGCCGGGCCTGGTGGCTCAGCCTGTAATCCCGCGCCTTTGGGAGGCTGAGGTGAGTGGATTGCCTGAGCCCGCGGGTTCGAGACCCGCCTGGGCAGCGAGACCTCATCTCTACAATAAATCAAAACAGCCAGGCGTGGTAGCGCATGCCTGTAATTCCGGCTCCTCGAAGACTGAGGTGGAAGGATTGCCAGAGCCCAGCAGGCGAGGCTGCGGTGGCTGGTAGCGGCCACTGCACTCCAGTCTGGGCGACCGAGTGAGACTCCAATTAAAAAAAAAAAGAAAAAAGTCGCATGCAGTTCCAAAAATAGGAAGGAAATAGCCATAGAGACAAGGACTTGTATGAAGCCTGGGACCTATTAGCAGGACTAGGATGAAATGACCTTTGATAGCCAGGCTTTCATTAAGTCTACTAAAATTCTCTCTTTAAAAGGAAATGGCTAACTAGGGTTTTTCATTTATTTTCAGATTTTACAACAGTTTGTTTTTTCCTAATCAAATGAAAGAGACTGCAGTGTTTGCTAAAATGATGAAGCCATTTAGATTTTTTTTTTAGTTTAAAAGTCTCCCAGCCGGGCTCAGTGTCTCAGCCAGTAATCCCGCGCCTTTGGGAGACTGAGGTGAGTGGATTGCCTGAGCCCGTGGGTTCGAGACTCGCCTGGGCAGGCGAGACCTCATCTCTACAATAAATCAAAAATTAGCTGTGCGTGGTAGTGCGCGCCTGTAGTTCCAGCTACTTGGAAGACTGAGGCTTAAGGATCACCGGAGCCCAGCAGGTCGAGGCTGCGGTGGCTGGGAGCAGCCACTGCACTCCAGTCTGGGCGACAAAGTGAGACTCCAACTCAAAAACAAAAACAAAAAGTCTCCCATTGTGGTACATATATTGGCACACATAAGTTATATGTGTTTGTTTCTTTTGTTTTCCTAAGGAAGAGATCGTTGTTTTTCTTGTGCTTTTGTTATATAATTAGGATCATTGATAAATTTTGAAAAGGAATTAAGACAGGACAAAGACATAATCTCTATGACCAGCAGGTGTCACTCTCTGTGCAGGTTTGGGTGAAAGCAAACTGTCTTTACAGATTTTGCCAAATATCTGATTGTAAATATCTGATTGTAAATACCTTTGGTAAAGGTATTAGTGACTCAGATTTAAAATGCTTCACCTGAGCTTCTGCTTGCTGACAACAGAACGCAGGTGGAGCCAGTTACCTCCAGACTGCAAGAAATCACTGGGAAACAAGGGTGGGAAAAAGAAGATATAAGTGAGTTTTTCTACGAAACTGACTTGAGCATGGATTTTTGACATCTTGGCTGCTTTTCTAAGCCACCAAAAGATGCTTGAAGTCAAAGAATAGGTCAGCATTTTAAGACATCAATGAGAATCAAAACAAAATAGAAATACACATTCAAAGGGTGAAATTTGGCCGGGCTCGGTGGCTCAGCCTGTAATCCCAGCACTTTGGGAGGCCGAGGGTTCGAGACCCGCCTGGGCAATTTGGCAAGACCTCATCTCTACAATAAATCAAAAATTAGCCGGGCATGGTAGTGCACGTCTATAGTTCCAGCTACTTGGAAGGCTGAGGCGGAAGGATCCCCGGAGCCCAGCAGGTGGCCGAGAGTGGCCATTGCACTCCAGTCTGGGTGACAGAGTGAGACTCCAACTCAAAAAAAAAAAAAAAAAAAGGTGAACTTTATGATGCTTGAATTATGTCCGTTTTTAAAAATTGCTGTGGGTATTTGTAGTATAGGATCTTTTTAGCAAGTTTCACCAAAATAAAGTAAGCTTAGTTTTACTATCTAGAAAAGACAGACTTTTTGAGTCTGCCCTAATTTGAAGGGCAGCATAAGGTTGTCTAATTTATTGTATTTTGTACTTTATTTATTTTAAGTTGAGATCTCTCACTCTATCTCCCAGGCTAGAGAGCAGTGGCACCATCATAGCTCACCTCAGCGTTTACCTCATGGGCTCAGGTGATCCTTCTGCCTCAGCCTGCTAAGTAGCTGGGACTACAGGTGTGCACCACCATACCCAGCTAGTTGTTTTTATTTTTTTGTACAGATGAAGTCTCACTATGTTGCCTAGGCTGATCTCAAACTCCTGGGCTCAAGCATTTTTCCCGCCTCATCTTCCCAAAATGGCACTATTACAGGCATGAGCCACCATGCCCAGCCTCTTTATCTTCTGAGAATGAAGAGAGACCTAAGGTTACTTTCCTTTTTTATAAATTTGCTACAAATCTTAGTCTAATTCAGAAACGGATTGAGTCCTGGCTCAGCTACTTACTAGCTGTGTAAACTCTGTAGCTCTCAGCATATAGGAGTCAAGAGATCTGATTATCTTGTTTTTTGATCTGCTCACCATTAATTCACTTCTTTTAATAATAGCACTTTGATTTTTCTTTGAGGAACTGTCCTTCCCCCACTGTCAGTCTATATTGCCCCATCCTGGCTAATTATAGAGTTAGCTCTGATACTTTTTCTGGAATTAATAGGAAAGGTGCTATACATGCTAAACTATCAGTATATGTCTGGTCTTCCAATGGTCACTTTTGCTACCATATACAGAGAAGTTGCCAGAGGATTAAGCCAACAGAGAATCCAGAAAAGGAAGGAGATTGTTGATGACATTGCTTCAGTCCTTAAATGCAGTCATACTTTCTTCCTTTCAGTTACATGAGCTTTTAACACTTTCCCTTTTTTGCTTAAGCTTGTATGTTTCCTCTCACAACCAAGAAACTTACCTCATATACTTGGTTTCCAATCTTATCAATGAGTAATGGAAAAGCTTTTTACTCCATTAATTTTATTATATGATTTTGGAAAGCTCTCACCAGTCCTGGGCCTCAGTTTTCTCCCTTTTAAGGAACAGTCGGACAGGTTTTCCCTATAGAACCTTTTCCATTTTTTTCCACCACAGAGGCTGTGTTTATTTGCTTAATTTTGGTGGCACTGAAAT